ATTGTATTAAGAGCGATTTCTGAAAGGCGATTATTTGCATAGAGATACCTGGCAGGCCGAACCAAAATTCCATCTTGGCTCCGTGTTTCAGTTTGGTGATGGTCCTATGAGATGCTCCATCATCACATCTTACTTTTAATTTTACAGAAAAGCAGATGTAGTGACATGCTTATAAACTGGAGGAAGAAAAAAAACCTGGTCCTGTCTCTACAAGGTGAACCATAAACCCTTCTAAAAGCATCTTGTGTAAATTCTCTCCCTGGAAGTTGCTGAATATCCCCCGTATTTTTGAAAAATGATACATAGACAAAGCTATTTCTCCAGAGGACTTACATTTTTCTCTCAGTGCAGAATTGCTCGTATATGAATCCGTGCTGGCTTTACTCCCCACTTCCCGCCTGCCTTGAGAGTTTGGAGGCTTGCTCCAGTACGATGTGCACGTATTTCCTTAGCTTGTCCATTTTCCTCCTGCTGTCTCCTTTTTTGCGGGCTCGCCAATGTCCTGGCCTCTCCCTGCCTCGCCTTGGGTCTGTTCAATATGTGTCTAGTGCTTCCCTCATTTGGCTCCTGTCTCTGGCTTGATTGACATGTCCGGACCACTTTCACTGCGGGTGTTCTACTGGGACTAGCCACAGTCACCTTTGACTTCATCTCCTACTCGCTGATTCCTCATCCAATTGCCTCTGATCAAACTGGCCTGATTCCTCTGGCACCTTTATTTAACACCGTGCCCAGCTTAGATTTCCACCGAAGACAATAGGCACTTCAACTAAATTGTGTCCTTGTAACTTATTTTCCAGATTTTTCGGGAAACTACAATTACTTTCTATCTACACCTGTCCTGCTGATTGAATGACCTCAACTTGAAAGGCTGCGACATGTTGGGGTAGCTGGATCGCATTATACTGGGAGTAAGAAGACCAGGGTCCAAGTCTTTCAACTCCCGTTAGCTTCCGTCTCCATGGTGTAGGAGACAACAATAGGTGGAGTGCTGGCATGCTGTATGAGTTAGGTCCTTTGAGACTGTATGGAAGAGATCATCCAATTCACGACCTGAATGCACAAGTGGCCTCATGCATAACTGAAAAGTGACTCATAACTGTGCTTGATACAAGACAAGCACCAGCAGCTCAGATCTGGTGTCTTAGTACCAGGGACTTGGCACCCTCTTTGCGTCTCACATCCCAATGTCCCCTGTAGAAGGTATCTGAGTGGGTTACTTATTTACCCTTTATCTTATCGCCTTCTGATTGGACAGACTTTGGCTCAGCTACTGATCGCTAGTCCAATCAGCTGTGACCAGGTAGCACAGTTGATTTAACTCACAAACAAGGTGCATCTGCCCAGAGCGACCTCTTGCTGAAAGCACTGTGTAGTACCTCTTTCTCCTGAGGGGCGCTGTGCACAGCAAATGCTATGGCAGCCTGCCTGGAGGAGGATGCTTGCAACACCGATCTTCACGCTCCTTGAGAAAAAAGCCAGTGGTCAAATAAACTTGGAAAGAGCACGTATTACATCGTCCCATTTAGCACTTCACAACTCACATTGGTATATGAAAGGTGCAGAGAAGCCCTGGAATGAACAACTCTTTTAACCTGGCTTGAGGCAGCATCTCCCAAGTACGTAAACTGTTTTTTGTGTAGCATCTTACTGATACCCAGGGGAGGATACTTTGACAAATGCTGAGGTAGACCTCGTGAACTGTCTAGTGCCACCAGCTTTATCACTGCCTCCTGGACCAGCAGCTCCCGACTCCTGTGCATCGGAACCACCTGCACACATCTGACTAAACAGAGTCAGCCAACCGAACCCCTAGAGATTCTGATCTACTTAGTCCGGGGAGAGGCCTAGAGATCAGAATTTAAATGTACTCTGTGAACTAGAGCCTTAAATAATACTAATTCTATGTCACTGTATAATAATAACATTTACTGAACACGTGCTATTTCCCAGGTACTAAACAAGCGTGACTTAATTTTCTTACTTCATCCTTAAATCTACGCTGCCTACTAGTTATTACCACTAATTTACAAGTGAGAAAATTGAAGCTCCATGAGGATGGGCAACAAGCCCGTCACACAGCATAGCAGCTGCAAGGCTGAAAAGACTTCTATATTCATGTTCTTTGGTCTACGCAGCATGTCTCTGCAAGAAACCCTCCTCCAGGTCTGGAAGGGCAGTCAACAAACCATGGTGGAATGAAGAAATACCATGAAGGACCTCCAAGGTCCCTTTCAGCAAAAACATCCCCAAATTCTGTGACTCAAAGTTGTGAAGCACAAATGACACCAAACACTTTGAGAATTGCTTTAGGTCCTACCCATTAAACACTCGATAGTAGCACTCTTTTATTTATGCTGAAAAGCACTCCTTACTTAACGTTGCACAGTTCTTGGGCATCTAGCCCTCAGCGAACTCCTCTGCTTGCAGTTTGGTTCCTCTGAAACTAAATGATAACAGCAACTGTGTATGCGATAACCAATACGGCCAATGTAAGAAAGAAATTAGCTCCTAAAGAGAACTGAAGAGCTAATGCACTATCTACAGATCATAAAATAGAGCTCGGGTCCCAAGCAAATTCCTTTGCACATCAGTGAATGTGCATCTACTCAACAGCCTCTGTCACCAGGAATCATCTTCCTGGGGCCAAACACTCCTCGCACGAGATGATCAGGAGATATTACAAGGGTTCAGTTATTGGCTGCAGCTAAGAAATTCCACACTGAAGTCTGAAAACTGTCCATGATAATTTTCCCACTTTCCCTCAAATCATGAATGAAAAAATCCATCACACACAGAAGCAAGACTTTATTCCTGGTGCTCAGGTGTCTAGAATCTACAATAAGCTTCTTACACCAGGCTTCAGGCGGCCGAGAGGCCATTTGGAAGGGCTTGCCTGCCACCTCGTGGTCAAAATGTGCATTACTGTCCCAAGCAAGGGCCCACACAACCTGCACGCTATGACAAGACTGCTTATGACATCTTTTGACATGCCCCAATAAGCTAAAAGAGGAGAAAGGTATTAGAGTATCTGGCGATAGCCCTTGGTTGGGAAGAGGTTATTTTCAACAACTGGTTTCTCTAAGGCAATCATACCTGAGCTGATTTGCTCATAAGCTCCTAGTTTAGAAAAAGCTAGAATTTGCCAAATTCTCTCTGCTTTGACTGTTTCAAAGAAAACTACTATTTTCTCCATTCCCTATTTCCCAAACTGATTTTTCTCTCTCCCTCCTCCCACCCTTCCTTCCTTTCTTCCCTTCCTCCCTCCCTGCCTCCTTCCTTTCCTTCCTTCTGTGTAAACCTCCCTATTTAAGTTTAAATTCCTTCACAAAGAAAGCTCCATAGCCAATCTTTCTCTTACTTACTAGCTGTGTGGCTTTGGGCAAATTCCTTAACCTCTCTTCTCTCTATTTAAACATCTATAAAAATGGTTTTTACATTTTTAAAAGATTCTCAGGGAGAAGGGTGACGACAAACACATAATAATGTACAACAGAGAACACACATGGCCCGCAAAGCCACTCTAGCCCTGTATGATATGAAGTACACGGTATCGTGAGTAAGTATTCTTTAAAACAAATAAAATCTGAAACTAACGAAGCCTTTAGACCTACCTTTCAGTTGGCAGGAAGTAGGGAGAGTGGAACAAGCTAAACGGCACCACCCTCGCCCCATAATGGGGCCACCAAGAAGCCCTGCAGTCCTCCAGTGCTGGGAATGTTGGCTGCTGGTGGCTCACAGCCGAGCTCCTCTCCAGGAACCGCCCTCGGCTGAAGGGAGCTGCCCTCCAAAGCTACACCCCTCTATGGGGCTGGCCCACATTTGATGATTCTTTGACATGAGTCTCTTGGCTCATTTGGGGACCTCTCTGAAGGACTACCCAGCTCTACAGCTCCCTTATTGAGGCCTCGCCTGCTACTGCTTTGCAGTTCAATTTCTCCCTCCACCCAAGCCTAGGCCCCTCATTTCTTCACAGGCGTTAATCAGGAGCCCCTTCCCCCATAAGCCACCTGCATACAAATCTCCATCTTAGACTCTGTTTTCTAGAGAACACGACCTAAGTCAGGCATCTACAGCCTATTCCCAACATAATAGCTACAGTTACCCTCTTTGAAATAAGTTAGATCATTACTCCATTTTGAGATCCCTTCAATGACTCCCATCAGAATCAAAAGACAAGAGCCTTGCCATCTGGACCCCAGTACCATAACCTTTTTGACTTCATCTCCTACTCCTCTGCCCCTTGATCATTCTAGCTGCACTGGCTTCCTTGCTGTTTGTCAAACATGCCACACATGCTCCTGCCTCAGGGCCTTTGCACGTACTCTTCTGGCTTCCTGGATTGCTCTTTGCCCAGTCATCTATACTGCTTCCTCCCTGGTCTACTTCAAATCTTGACTCAAATGTCACCTCAGTGTGGACTTCCCTGACCCTCTACTTAAGTGTGCTGTACTCCACCTTACCCCAGACCTCCACATCCCTTGTTCCTGCCTTAGTTTTCCCCATCGCATGTATCAGCATCTGGCATACAGTATATTTTATTTATTTATGTTGTCTAACATCTATTTCCACCAGAATGTAAGCTCCATGCGGGAAAGAACCTTTTTCTATTCTTTCCACTGCTGTGGCCCCAGAACCTAGCAGAGTAACTGGTACGCAGTCGTTGCTCAATCAATATTTATTGAACGAGCAAGTGAGCAAACGAATGGAGGACTAGGGATGTGGAAACAAAGACCTGTGATCTTGAGGGAAGTCCCTTAAACAGCATCTGACTTCCTTCACATGAAAAATAGAAACACTAATTCTTACATCATTTTTGTAAGGATTATGCAATGTAACGCTTGTGAAAGCATCATATAATAAACTGCTAAATAAACGTAAGGTATAATTTTTGCTTAAACTGAATTCTTCATCAGTGAGCTCCTTAATTTTGTAACCTAGAGCTACCAGATTGCCCAAAAAGTAAGATACACACTCAAACACAGAAATCTTCAAAATGGTCTCCTATTCAAATAAAATATAAAGATTTATTCCAAAGCCATACCCCAAATTTACAACGAAATGCATCTTTTTAAAAAAGAGCAGTCTCTACATTTTAAATTTTATAACAATTTGAAGATCTTCTTTTGCTCCCATAACAAAATCTGAAAAAAGTTAATTCCATCAAGTGTCAAATGTACTTTCTTGTTTATATAAAATGTATTCTCTTTTTAAATGCAAAGTGTTCAATATAATAGTTTTATTATGAAATTTTTCTCAATTTCCGAAATTCTATCTATAGAATCATATTTGCATACACATCTTAAAATGGGGTAAGAAGATAATTTTTTTTTCAGATAATTTTTTCAGGTATTTATACCTCTCTGACTAAAAGTGCAACATGGCCTTTATGATTCCTTCGATGTGGAATATTATCTCGGGGGTACTTAGCACTGCGCAAAGAGCAGCAGTAATCCCAGCCATCTAAAACTTAGGTTGTAATTCTTTTCAAACAATTTTAAGACCCAAATCAAAGCTATTGCTACAGTGATCCACTATTTTCTTTATAGATATTTTAATAAATATTCCTAAACTCTAGAAGACTGTTCATAATCCTCTAAAGCAGAAGTCAGCAAACTTATTCTGGAAAGGCCCAGATAATAAATATTTTAGGTTTCTCCGGCCATTCCCGTTGCATGTTCTCCTTTTTTAATTTTTACACCTCTAAAATGTAAAAAAAAAGTTCTTAGCTCTGCTGTAGAAGCTTCTAGGTACTTTAAAAAATAGAAGTCCTTAGTCTCGGAATTCGACTACTCAAGTGTTAATAAAATGTAAACTTCACATTCTGCAGTAAAATAAACTCATGGTTTTTTTACCGCTAAAAAGAAAGTTCATCAACAAAAAGAAATGAATCCCATTCAAAGTGTGGGACTGCATTTTAGATATTCTTTTTAGTCAATGGCACTTTCTTATGGTTTCTTTTTCATTTTGAATTGGATCATGCACATGTATCTTAAGTTTTTGGCTTTACTTTTCTATGGGGAAAATTTCTCTTCATGCGGCTAATTGGAAGTTTGTGAACTCAAAGGTAGGACTATTTCCATGCTCGAGAGGTAGATGCACACACGTGGCATATGCAGTTACAAACACATAAGCAACGGAAACCACTGTTTGATGTATTAATGGTCTCCACAGCTAAAAAAGACTCGGTGGAGACCGGCTAGCAGGTACACAGTCCCACAGAATGTTCTAATGTGTTTTTATCATAGGTAGTTGTTACATTTTGCAAAAACATGACTTGCATATGAAATATGTGAGTATAAATTAATACAGCAGCATGGTTTCTTCAGGTTCTTGATGCAGATAACACGGAGCATCTTTTTATATCTACAAAGATACAGCAGAGAATTCAGTGGAAGTTAGTTTGGACTCTGACTAATAGAGTAAATCAGATCTGTTCACAACACTGTTTGATCCAAAACATGGTCCTATAGCTTGGTACTGAGAATCACAACTCTGTGTGTGTGTGTGTGTGTGTGTGTGTGTGTGTACGCGTGCGCACAAGTTTTCCTTTCTTACCACAAAGAGTGTTATGAACAGATTATGGCAAATAAAAGAGCTGCTGTGAATTTACTCAGAGACATCATAAATAAGTGAAGTTACAATCCCACGGGATTCTACAAAAACATTTACAAATTCTAAAGCTAAGAAAGTTGCAAACTTTGGTATCCCTAAAAAGAAAGCTCAATTACACCAGCGAGCCCATGCTCAATTTTTGAACCATAAAAAGTAAAACGTTCAGTGCAAAAATAGTATCTGGATAAATAGCAATGACACAAAAATCACATGAAACAGTTAAAGACTATAAAATACACAAGTAATATCCTGAAGGCATGTTTTGGTACAGAAAAGGTAATTTGGGGCTAGGAAATGACAGGTTGTTGACTGATTTAACTGTGAGTCTGGGTGATGGAGTATCTGAACACTCCCTTTTTGCAAAAGTTTCAACGTAGTTATAGCTCATCACGTTTTTTCTTAAATGGCCACTTTGGGTGTTGCAACACGTAGTCTGCAGCCTGAAGGACGAGGTACATAAATTCTTCTACATCAAAAGAGTAGTTGGTAAATTTTGGATGCTCCCCCAGAGTTGGGTGGTGGCCCTGCAAAAATGAACCAAAACACAAATCCATAAGTCATTGAGGACATGGTTTTCTAACAGGAAGAAAATTATTTTACTTTGGCCAAAGCAACTATTTCAAATTTATGCTCTACATCAGAGGTCGGCAAATTTTTTCAGTAAAAGGCGAAATGACATGTATCTTCAGCTCTGTGGACCACATAGTCTGTGCCACTGAAGTGCACAAGCAGCCACAGACAACACATGAACAGAGGAGTGAGACTGTGTCTCAATAAAACTTTATTTATAAAACCAAGTGGTGGGCCAAATTTGACCCACTGGTCTATAGTTTGCTGAGCCTCTCTATATGTAATTTATTAGATCTTTCTAGGCTCAAATTTCATGAAGTTGTCTTATCAACATTAAAGAGGTAGAGTGATTAATTTCCCTTTCCCCTCACTTTGCAAAGACAAAATCTAAAAACCCACTATTTCAGAGAAGAACAGTTTGTCTTTAAAGTTCAATGCTAGTTTTTCACGTTAATAATTAGACACTTTAAACCAATTAAAAAGTAAAACAAAGTGATTTTTGTCATTGAACTTTACCTTGTCTTGAGGAAAGACTTTGTTCTGCCTTCGCCAAGTGATGTAGTGGACGCCTCTGAGCCTCGCCAGGTCTAAGTAACAGCGCTCGTCTTCACAGTTGTACCTGAGGACACGAGGGCATCCACACGTGAGGCTTTGGTCTGGGGTTTTTGCCCAGTCAACAATTCTCTGGGAAAAAAATGCACCTCCCAAATATGTTCTTGCAAAAGCCTTTGTAAACAGTAAACAAGACAGAGGGAGACTATTTTCAAAATATTCTCATAACTAGACTACCTTAACTTTTAAAAACAAAATAGGAATAAGGAATGGAGGGGACTGACCTTTCCCAATAGGGCCGACTGCCTATGAACTTGATATTACCTCCTAACACCCTGGTCTTCATATGTATGGAAGTGGACTTGGGGGAGGGAAGACGTCCAAGGTCACATAGCTAACGAGTGAAGGAAGTAGAGATTGAACCCAGGTCTGTTGGACTCCAAGGCCTGAGCTTTCTCAGTTACATTTCTTTCCTTCCCACCTCTGGGAGAAACGAAGAATTGAGATAGAATCCACAATTATCTGGCTATTTCTCTAACAAAAATTTTTTTGAATGTTTTTGTAGGGTTTTGGAAGTTCAGGACAACTTTTGTCTAAACAGTCTCTCATTTAAACACTAAGTCAAGTCATTTTTAAAGTGAAACCACAAAATCAAGATATTTAGGTGTAAAGGGGCAAATCAGGTAACAGTAATTGCCACTGGTGTGTCAAGAACTAACTAAGATGGGAAAAAAAAGAACTAACTAAGATGGGCCATAGTGTCCAGAGTGGAATTATTAAGGGAGAGAAGGCCACATCTCCATAACCAACCAGCGAGTTAGACAAACACGCCAGGAAAACCATTTTCACTTTGAGGACTTTAGTGTCCCTGTGTATGGAATCTGAGAACTAGGTGAAGTGGTTGGCTTGTGTTTTGGAGCCCTGTTCTTCTCGAGACGTGTAAGTGCTCGATCTCTCTCTCTTTTTTTAAATGTAGTCGAGAACATATAACATCAAATTTACCATCTTAACCATTTTTAAGTGGACAGTCCAGTAGAAAGTACATTCTCATTGTTGTGTAACCAGTCTCCAGAACTGTTCCATCTTGCAAAACTGAAACTCTGTGCCCATTAAACAAGTCCCATTCTCCCTCCCCACAGCTCCTGGAAACCACCATTCTACTTTCTGTCTCTAAGATTTTAACTACTCTAGGTACCTTATAGAAGGAAAATCAACAGTATTTGTCCTTTTGGGAATGGCTTATTTCACTTCGTATAATGTCCTGAAGGTTCATCCATATTGTAGCATGTGTCAGAATTTCCTTCCTTTTTAAGGCTGAATAATACTCCACTGTATGTACATACCACATTTCCTTTATCCAATCATCTGTCAGTGGACATTTGGGTTGATTCCACATCTTGGCTATTGTGTATAATGCAACACACAGGTTCTCTTTAACATAATAATTACACCGATTGTAGGGAGACGCCCACAGTTTGAAAGGCACACAGGAATGAACTCAGAGTAAGGAAATCACAGATTCAAACTTCCCGAATCATGCTGAGATGGGGGACGGAGGGACAGTTTGCTCATTAAGGGCAGTGGCAGGCTCAGACATCACATTTTTAGCTTTAGGTCTTTTTTTTCTTTCTAGATGCCTATATGTTACAACTTCCCGTAATGATGAAATATTAAGCCTTCTGATGCTCTGAGTGAAAGTCTCAGCATGCATAAAAAGCATTAAAAGCTGCCTCCATGTCTAACTGTCCCCAAACACTTACAGTTCAAACACAGCAGCCCAGTCTGGAAGGAAAAGTAAATGGGTAAGTCCAGCTCCATGCATTCCAATAAATATGTCCGTGTTATGAGTGATCCTTAGCTGATCTAAAAACCCAAGCTGCCTGTGAACAGATAGAACACAAGACCGATGGGGAGAAGAAAGAAGTATTAAGTTGAGTTAGCTCATGACTCATGGTAACAATATTTATATAAGCGTCTTTCCCAATTTAAATCATATGCCACTGTGATTTTTTTGCTAATTTCAAGCCTACTCCCATAGTTAATAACTAATTACTCAATAACAACTTTTTTTTAAGTAAGCCCGCCTTTTTTTCTTAACTTAAATGCACTTATTTTAAAAGAAAACTTTTATAGCTGTCTTAAGTGGAAAACCAGTAACACATGACATTAAAAAAAATCGTAAAAATAGATATAATCAAACTAAAAAGTATTATTCTAATCTAAGTAGATACCATTGCAAGGCAAAGCTCTGAGCCTGAGGCCTGCTCTCTCTTTATGAACAAGCAAAATTAGCAAGCATTAAAGAGATGTCATGATATACTAGCACCAAATTGAAAACTATTTCCTTAAGATAACAAAAGGATTTTTTTCTTAAAGAAAATAAATTCCTCCCTGTGTGATCTGGGTTATTCAATGCCATATGGGTACACCTAAAATTATCTCGGGTACCACCAGGCGATTTTTCGGTCCTTGACTATTCTACAATTTCATGCACGTTAAGGTTGTGAAAGTGTTTTTTGAACTCAACACACTGAAAGATGTGCAAACTCAGAACTGAAAATCAGTGCCAAACAAAGTTCATCGAAGTGAGGCTGGGAAGAAACGCTGGAGTAAGGATAACACCCTGAATAAACATAACGGAATTAATCTCCCACTTACTGAAAGTAAAGAAAAATAAATGACCAAGATTATTTTGGATCTAAAAAGGGAAAGCAAATTCCCTCTTAATCAGCTTCTCCTCTTTAAAGAGCTTCCTGTCACAGTAGAACAGAAACCCCACCTAGAGAAAGTAAGACAATGGCACCATGTGTGTGCCCCAGTTTCTCCAGGAATGCCAACTGATACCAAGGGGAGGACGGGCATTTGGCCAGGTGAATGTACCCCCAGAGTCGTCAGTTGGGGGAAATACCTGTGGATCAGGACTCACAAATCTCCATGCTATTGTGTTACTATTGTTTTCCTCAGATTGGCAAAGTGTGAATTTATTGTCATTCTTCCATCATGTGGGAAAATCTTTTAGCTGCTGTTAATACTGTTGAATGAATTCTACTCCTAGCGACCCTGTGCACAGCAGAGCGGCACCCTGCCCAGTCTTTTTGCACCATCCTCTCACCTTCCGGTGCTGTATCAGACAATGCTCCACTGCAATTTATAGGGTTTTCATGGCCAATTTTTTCAGAAGTGAGTGGCCATGTCCTTCTTCCTAGTCTGTCTTAGTCTGGAAGCTCCACTGAACTCTGTCCGCCACGGGTGACCCTGCTGGTAATTGAAATACCAGTGGCATGGCTTCCAGCATCACAGCAACACACAGCCACCACAGTATGACAACCGACAGACGGGAAACCCCCTGTGCCCTTAGAAGCCAATCAGCGGCAGAGCCTCTGAGGTGCCCTCCCCAGTTCTTTCAGCCTGATGCCCAGCCCTTTTCTTGGTTCCCACATTTCCTCATGTATTCCTCATACATTACCATGGTATAGTGTAATTTGTAAAACGGAAATAGCTTTGCCAACACCACAAGACTGTTGGAAGAGTGAGATGAGATAAAGCAAGTAAATTACAATAGTAAGTCTCAATAGATGGATAGATGGTCGCCGTTCTTACGATTGCTATTAATTTGTATCCAGTGTCTGAGGTCCTCAAGACATGAACCATGCTGTCCTCCATAACTGGATTCCTACTGCAAAGCCTGTGACCAGCTCACGGTAGGTACCCAATAAAGATTTGTCGTATAAATGAACGAATGTAAGATGAATGAGGTGCAAAACTCCCACGCTCAGCAGTGAGGGTAAACCTATCTACATTACACACCCATATGCTGGGAAATGGGTACTTTTTAACATAGAAAAAAGCTGTTTGTAGTATTCAGTTTGGAAAACAAGACTAGGATTGTGGGTGGATGAGCAGGGGAGACAAAAGTTTTCGCCTTTCCTCTGGAACTTTTTGATGCTTCTTGACTTTTCAACCAGGAATGTGTACTACCTTCACAGCATCACTGCTCACATATCAACAAGCGTTCCCTAGACAGTAAGTGATGGGCGTAGTCTGTCTTTCTAAGCCTTTTTACTTGTACCAGAATTCTAAAAGAAATGTAAATACTTTATAAGATGTTTAGAAACCTCATATTATTCTGTGACCCTCAAACTAATCCCACATAACTAATTTCAGATCAGAAATTGAAACCTGGCAGCTGGCAGGGCAAATCAGACCTACATTTTGTTTTTTTAATCCAAAATGAGTTGCCAACTTTTAAAAATTCAGAAATTTCAAATGAAAATCTGGATTCATCACTTCTCTTGAAAAACGGGATGGTGTTGCAACATCAGGCCCCGTACAGCTGAAGAGCAACTGCCCCCTGTGCCCGGGTCCCCACCTGCCCACTTTGTTCACTGATGGTGCCTGCTTGTCGCTTCTAGATCTATAAATGCCAATCGCTCCCATTCGAAAAGTGCTGTCCCTGCCCTCTTAACTCATCCAAGCAAAAGACGACATCATCTGCCCCAGGGTGGGTATTACTTACTTGTACTTGTAATCGACAATCTGGACCTCAAACGTAGATACTGTTTTCAGTGCATTTACAAGCTGGGAAGAAAAGAGAAACATTTAGAATTTCTTTTTCTTCTTTCTCTTCTGTTTTGCTTTCCTTTGAGTTTTAAAATTTCTTATTTTTCATCAAAATATTTTTCAGGTATTTAATATCCTTCAGGTCTATTGTTTTAACCCTTAACTGAGTTCAAAGGCAGGCTCCACCCCTTGGACATTCTACTTCCCTAAAATTCCACCACACAGGGTGGTTAGGAGGCTGAAAGGAGATAATTCGTGGGAGCAAAGTGCTCAGCACAGGGACACACTAAGTGTTAGTTGTTACTGTGACCATGTGCTAGTTATTCCGTCAACTCTTAACATGCATTTGCCGGGCACCTCCTGTGTTCCAGATATTACGTTAAAGGTTTTCTTTCCATCCATCATCTCATTCCAGACAAACCACTCATGCTTTGGACCTCATCCTCTGAAAACATTTGGCAGAAAAACATTTTCAATATTTCTACACAGAAAAACAATTATCCCTTTAGCAAACAGAAAGTAATGAGCACAATTAATCTACTATCAAAAATACAGCCATCGGGAGCCGGCCCCGTGGCCGAGTGGTTAAGTTTGTGCGCTCTGCTTCGGCGGCCCAGGGTTTCGCCGGTTCGAATCCTGGGTGCGGACATGGCACCACTCATCAGGCCATGCTGTGGCAGCATCCCACATGCCACAACTAGAAGGACCCACAACTAAAATACACAACTATGCACCGGGGGGCTTTGGGGAGAAAAAGGAAAAGTAAAATCTTTAAAAAGATAAAATAAAAAAAATACAGCCATGGTTCTCTATGTCCCTCACATTAGACCATCTTAATATAGCACTGTGAGTCACTGCTATCTAGAAACTTCTGAACTTGTAACCTGCTGCCTTGGTGCTACAACAACAGCAATGGTTACAAAAGCATCATTTTTTATGCACTTAAATTGTGCTGATTTTCTAAGTGTTTTAGGTGTATGTCAATTGATCCCCATAAAAATCATACCAAGTGAGTATTATTACTACGTCCACTTTATAAATGATACAATGGTAGGTTAGAGAAGTTGTACAACTTTCCCAGAATCTCCTAGCCGGCCAATGGCAGAGCCAAAATTAAATCAAGGTCATCTGACCCCAGAACCTGTGTTCTTGGCCAGTACACTCTACTCTCCTGCTTATAAAAACAACAGGCAGTGACCCCGCCCCCAGTTGCACATACACATGCATACACACACACACACACACAGAGTCATATAATGGAAATTTCTCCCTAGACAGCCCCTGGACTCCCATGAGTATACTGCTTATATTAAGGAGTTGAAGAAGTGAGGGTAGAAGATTAGAATTCTTTCCAGGAGAAAATTAATGAGATAGCATGAGCCCTGGTTTTGTAATGAGATGGGCCCACATAAAAGGAATTGTGTGTCTCTAAGAGTCCCTCGGCAAGCACACTCTTTTTCTAGTCACACCAGAGAGGTGGCCATATCTCTTCTGACATGATCATTCCAACCCTGAGGTTGGGTGGGATTGCACAAACCATCTTTTTTTATTTTTGGCAAGGAAGATTGTCCCTGAGCTAACATCTGTGCCAATCTTCCTCTATTTTGTATGTGGGATGCCGCCACAGCGTGGCTTGATAAGCCATGTGTAGGTCCACACCTGGGATCCGAATCCATGAACCCCGGCCCACCAAAGCAGAACATGCAAACCCAACCACTACACCATTGGGCCAGCCCAATGCCCAAACCATCATTTAATGAGGGTATCTGGGTTTTATTATCTATTCACTAATCAAGGTAGAATTGAAGGTACTTTCTTCTCTGTCTAGTAGCTGCCTTATCAAGTGATGCCAACCCTCGGGAGAAAAGCAGCCAGTTGGGTGCTCTTTGGCGTGGAGTTGGGAGCTGAATTACCAAATCCCACCTTTGGGCAACACCATTTGGGCTATCTACATGACTGGATGTAAAAACTTCCATGGCTGCACTGTAGCACCCATTGGCAATGCCCCTTTCTACTGGACTTTTTTCCAGCAGCTCGGTGCTGTTCCTTAGGCCATCCCTTCCCAATGAGATCTTTCGGTGTGAGAACAGCAGAGCGCTCTGGTTAAGAAGCAGGCTCAGGCCTTGACCACCTTGGCTCACACCCCATTACTCTGCTCACCAGCTGGGTGACCTTGGGCATGTGTTTTAACCTCTAAGCCTCAGTGTCCTTGTCTAGAACGGAGAATAATAATAAAATACCTACCACGTGAGTTTGCTGGGAACACTGGGGGACATGCATGGGAAGCACAGAGTAATACGCTTGGAACATAATTAGCATCCACTATGTGTTACCTCTACCAATATATACTATTCATCTGCCTGCTCATGAGCCTTCCCATCCATCCACCCCAACATTGCATTACTTGATATATTTTTATTTCCAGGTCTTTAAAACACACACATACAATTGCTCATTCCTTCCATCATATAGCTTACAATCAACGCCTCATTACACCATATGTTCACGTCCTCCATAATCCATATGGAAATCAAGAAGAGATGCTAATTACATAATTTTGATCAGTCTGTTAGGCATCCAAATTAATCCGTGTAAAACATTTTACCTATCAAAACCTGCCCCTGACTGCCCTCCTGCTAATTTCCCAACTCAATTGCACTGAGCTGCTCCAGCTGAAGGCCTAGGAGCTTGCACTGGATTCAACACCTTTCCTGGCCTTACCTAAGGCGACAGTAAGTATCCCAGGCTCTATCTCCAAGATACATCTTGAATCCATTTATCTTGTCATCTCTACTGTCATCACCTTCATCTACACTCTCATCGGGGCCATAGCAGCAGCTTTTAATCTCCCTGCTCCTACTCTTGCAGTCAGAGTGATTTAAAAACAAACAAATAAGTCAGTTGATGTCTCTCCCTGTGTATTCATCTTCTATTTGCCGCTATGACAAATTACCTCCAACTTCACTTCCTAAGACAACACAATTGATCCCCAGAATTCTGCAGCACAGAAGTCTGACACAGTAGACGGAGGTCTCTCTGGGATAAAATGGAGGTGTAGGCAGAGCTGCACTCCTTCTAGAGGCTCCGAGGGAGAATCCACTGCCTTGCCTTTCCAGCTTTTAGCCGCCATCTGCATTCCTTGTCTTGAGGCCCCCTTCCTCCATCTCCAAAGCCAACAACATTGCATCTCTCTGGCCCTGCTTCCACCATTATGTCTCCTTCTGTGACTCCCTTTTCTGCCTCCTCCTTCCACTTTTAAGGAAGTGCTGAACCGAGATCTGAGCCCAGCTAAGGAAAGAGCTTTCCAGGAGGAGGCAAAGATTCTCTGGTACGGTGAGCTTAAGGACCATTTGTGATTATGTTAGGGCACCTAGATAATCCAGGATAATCTCCCTATTCTAAGGCCTGCTGATCAGCCACTTTAATTCCATCTGCAACCTTAATTTCCCTTTGCCATGTAACCTAACCTATTCACAGGTTCCAAGGATAAGGGCATGCACATCTCTGAGGGGGCCACTCTTCTGCCTACCACACTCTGCCTAAAACTTCACAGTGGCTTCGCCTCGCACTGGAATAAAATCTGTCTTCTCATCAAGGTCTATGAGGATGATATGATATGTGGCCTGTCCCCATCATGCCCAACCTCTCTGATATCTTATCACCCCACCTCTCTCGCTATGCTACAGCCACATTGGTGTTCTCTCTGTTTCTAGAACACCTAAAGCTCTGGACACCAGAGGACATTTGCTCTTTCCTTGGCTAGCTTCCTCCCTGATCAGATCTCAGTGCAAGCAGCACCTCTTCAGACATCTTGCCTGACTGCCTTCCCCCTCTACTCGCATCCCTGGTCTCTATCACCTCACCCCATTTTATTTCCTTTGTAGCACCTATGGCTACCTGAAATCACCTTATTTACTGATTTGTTTACTTATTTCTTGTCTTTCTGTCTCACCTTGAGAGTGTAAGCTCCATGAGGGCAGGGACCTTACCTGTTTTGTTGTTTACTGGAGTTCCAGGGCCTAGAACATGGCCCAGCACATAACAGGGGCCGAATACATTTTTGTGGGATAAACCTTATTATTGCAAGAACATCTTCTGGCCATGCTATGGTAGGCAGGGGCCTTGCATGGTGATCTTATTGAGGTTAAATATAATTTATGAGTTAATGTTGTCGAAAGGAGTTGGGAGCCTAAATGGTGAACAATTTCTGAGACACACAGTCATAAAAAGGATGGAGACTTTTCCAACTTAACCTGCCGCTGGATGCCACAGTATTGCCACAGTCCATCAACCATCTCCCAAAAGATACTCTCACATTTCCACTGTTAATTTGTCCAGAGACAAAATGTTTGGCAGTCCATGTCAGTAAAGGCAGGACTTAGAGACAGATTTTATCTCTGTTTCCACTCTGTTGGTGCAGATGGACATTTACGGTGAGGCAAAGCTAGTTTGGCAACACGTGGTTTGATGACTTCCAGTAGAAACCCAATAAATGAGCTGGGCATAGCCACCAAACTTTTCTAAAAGCTAGTAATTCCAAATCAAAGCATTTTAATGCAATGTGAAAAAATAAAGCACATTAGTCATAGGAAGTTAAATTCAATATGATGATATTAAAAATGCATACCCAAAACTAACCTCATTTTGGTTTAGTATTTTCCGGTATTCTGTACTCCGTGCAAGAATGGTGACCCGAATTTTTCCATCCTGTAACCAAAAGGAAAAGGAAAAATATTGCTGTATATGCCAGGACACATGAATGGACACCTCAACCTAAAATGTCATTTTCACAAAGAGAAGAAACTCAGTAAGGATGCATTCATGGAACTATTCGATTTTAGCCTGATTCCTTCTCAGTTCTCTCAGGGAACAGAAATGCATCCACTTCGGTCTCAGAAGACAAAACTTGTTCATTACACTACTTTCGTTTGGCTGCTTGTGTGGATTTTTTGGCAGAGGTTGTGTGGGTTAGGTGTGAATTTGGGGGAGCATGGGGAGATACGGTGAAAGAAAGGGAAAAGAAAAAGGAAAAAGGCACATTCTTCCACTATCCATTAGCTTTTCTTTCAGAGGGTGTTGACATCTGATTTCAGATCACTCCAGATCAGAAATCATTCTCACAGAAAACCCTCTCTTCTGATTATTTCTTTTTCTGCAAAGGTGGTATTGATTTTTATTCGGGGTGAAAAGTCAAGCCCACCTCAGAACCATAATGTATCCATTACCTTGGGCCCCTCTTGTGTGATGTTCAGTCTGTGGAGTACATGCTGGGAAAATGCCCTGAATAATCCAGTATTCTGACAGCCAGATATCTAAAATAAAAACGCAAGTTCATATTACAATGAATATTTCTGCATTCCTATTTAAGACGTTCTCAAGTTCTATAGAAATGTTATTTCAAAATCGATCAAGAATAAATTCCATCAGGATGAATGTCAACAATCGATGACACACTTACCAGAGGAGTGTTATAAAACAGCCCGTACCGCATTCGAGGGAGCAAGGAAAACACAGCTTCTTTAAAACATACCTAAGAAGGAAGATATTTGCAAAGATAAGAGAACATAATTTACATCCTTCACACCAAAACAGCACTTATAATTACAGAAAATAAATGTGAGCTAATCTCGATTTTGATTAAAATATTTGGAATAACAAATTATTTCACTCAAGTGAAATTCATGCTTTTGGAAAAGCTATCGGAAAAAATTTTTTCAAGCTATGTGGTTAATATCAATGAGGATTCTAGTTATAAAAAAAAGAAACTAAGAAGTCAGAAATCAATGGTAATAGCCAACAGAAATTCATATGAAATATTTATTTGATGAGCGAGTCATCTGCAATGACATTTATTTACAAACATTTCAGTCGAGTTTCCAGTACCCTTTTGGAATCGTAGGTCTTCAGATGGATAACATCATAATCAGTAAATGCTTTCCATGTGTCGGAGAACAGGTCACCATAGCCGTAGGAGCTCTGAACATGGAAATAAAGTAAGTTGGGGCGTTAAAAGGGCACAACATGGGTACAATATGGCTTTTCAAAAATGCAAGAAAATACCAGAATTCGCTTGTTAGCGTTAAGGACTAATGATCCTAAACAAGCTCCTAAAATCTACATAAGAAAAATGGATTTTCACCTTAGGCCTGAGCAAGTTACCTAATTTGATGTAATTTCATCAGAAATAATCATCACAATTATAAACTTAGTCTGCTAAAAGCGTTTTGTTTTTCGACCCCAGCCCTTTTTATTCTTGTGTCTGGAACTGTAGTTGTTGTGGGTTCTTTTCTGCGAATTTTCTGTGCAAATCACAGATACACACAACACATACATACACCACCATTTGTACACACTCTGACATGCTCAGTGAGCAAAAACCATCTGGGTAAATGGAATATGCTTTTGGAAAGAAATTTTAGAGTGAGCAAATGCCTTCAAAGTTTTAACATTAAAAAAGAATGAATGTTGGGGGCCAGACCCATGGCCAAGTGGTTGGGTTTGCGCGCTCCGCTTCGGCGGCCCAGGGTTTCGCCGGTTCAGATCCTGGGCGCGGACATGGCTCTGCTTGTCGGGCCATGCTGGGGCGGCGTCCTGCATGCCACAACTGGAAGGACTCACAACTAAAAATACACAGCTACGTACTGGGGGGCTTTGGGGAAAAAAAGGAAAAATAAAATCTTTAAAAAAAAAAAATAGAATGAATGTTATTCCATGAAATGATCTCCCCATTGACTAACGTGATAATTCTCCATTAACATTAGTAACAAGACTAATAATAATAGCACCTTGCATACTTCCTTATCCCAGGTACTATTCTAAGCACTCAATATTTTCTTTTTTTGAGGAAGATTAGCCCTGAGCTAACATTTGCTGCCAATCCTCCTCTTTTTGCTGAGGAAGACTGGCCCTGAGCTAACGTCCGGGCCCATCTTCATCTGCTTTATATGTGCGATGCCTACCACAGCATGGCTTACCAAGTGGTGCCATGTCCACACCTGAGATCTGAACTGGCGAACCCTGGGCCACCAAAGCAGAATGTGCGAACTTAACTGCTGTGCCACAGGACAGGCCCATCACTCAACATTATTAACCCATTAAACCACCCCACAAACTTAATAAGCTAGGTAATATCATTATCCCCATTTTACAGATGAGGAAACTGAGACACAAACGGAAATAATTTGCCTAAGTTATAGAGCTGGTGCGTTTGCAGGGTTAGGATTCAATCCAGTCTGTTCGGTTTCAGACTCCACACTTGTAACTTCTATACGGCGGCTGCCTCTCAGTTGGAACTAGTTCTTTCTAGTACACTTACCAAATGCATTTCGTTTTTGAAAAGTAGAAATTAATTATGTCCTCCCTCAGCTAAAGGAAGGAGATCAATTTGTTTTAAGATGGTATAACTTAGATTGAAAAATAGAAACATTTTATGCAGCCAATAGAAATGTGTATGTAGGATTACATTAAAGGTCTACAGTTGGTTATATATTATGTTCATGTATTTTTATCTTTCTAGCATTCTTTTTTCGTATTTTGAAAATTTATGTTGCACATATTAAAGTTATTTCAAAGTTATTGAGAACTGTTAGATATGGTGGTAAAAAAATTCTTTCTTTCAATGTTAGTCCAATGCCATCCTAATGAAGATCCTTGTCAACATCATAAAAAATGAAATGTCCCTGTTCTGGTTCAATAATAAATAAAGGGAATTAAAACAAATGATTCTAGACAGTTTCTTGAGATAAAATAAGATACCTTTGAAAGGGAAATTTAATAATAAAATATAGTAATCCTGACTGATCCCTGTTCAGAGAAATCATGCATTATTCAGTAATAACCACCTCTAGAAGCTTCTTTTCCACATCCTTCAAATTCAAATAATCTGCCACAAGGGAAGGAAGGACTTCTTTCTAGTCTCATGTTGAAGAATATTTGGATATTCTTCTTTTTTATTTTGGCGAGGAAGATTGGCCCTGAGCTAACATCTGTTGCCAATCTTCCTCTTTTTGCTTGAGGAAGATTGTTGCTAAGCTAACATCTGTGCCAATCTTCCTCCATTTTGTGTGTGGGACTCTGCCACAGCACGGCTTGATGAGTGATATGTAGGTCTGCACCCAGGATCCGAACCCGCGAACCCCAGGCCGCCAAAGCAGAGTGCACAAACTTAACTACTTCACAACCAGGCTGGTTCCATGAAGAATATTTGGATATTCTTAAGGATGACATAAATTTCCTCCTGGGTATGTCTCAAATTTAAACATGCACATAACCTGTGACTTAGACATTCTCCTATAGGAATCTGTCGTACAGAAATGCTAGGATGAGTGTGTGAAGACATAAGTTTATGGAAGGGTTGTTCACAGAAGCATTTCAGTAAACAGCAAAGAACTGGAAACAAACTAAACATGAAGGGGTGAGGGCAGGAGATAAAACATGACTGAGGCATGCCCTGAATATCCTTAACGTCCCTCCAATGGAACACTATGTAACTACACAAAAATGATGACCCTAAATGTCCTGACTTGGAAAGATGGCCGTGATATAATGTTAAGGTAGCAATATGAAGGAAAGAGTATATTTTCTTTTTTTTTTTCCCCTGAGGAAGATTAGCCCTGAGCTAACATCTGCCAATCCTCCTCTTTTTGCTGAGGAAGACTGGCCCTGAGCTAACATCCGTGCCCATCTTCCTCTACTTTATATGTGAGACACCTACCACAGCATGGCTTGCCACATGGTGCCATGTCTGCACCTGGGATCCGAACCAGTGATAACCGCTGTGCCACCGGGCCAGCCCTGAGAGTGTATTTTCTATGAGGATATAAACATATCCTTATACAAACTTTATATATTATATACATATATCCTTATACAAATCCTTACATAAATTTTGCATAAGGATATATTTACATTTATTAAAATAAAGTAAGTCTTGCAAGGGACTCTCTCACACATGTTAAGGGCAGTTAGCTCTGAGGGAACTGGAACCGGAGAAGAAGAAGGAGACGTCCTCCAGGTATCATAAGCAGGTATCACTTGCATAATTAAAAATAATAAAACTATACTACTTCTCAGCATAAGAAAATGTGGAAAGCCTGCAGTAATCTCCCTTCTATTCATTCTGTTAATAAGAGCAGCCCTGCTGTGCCCAGAAATGCTCCTGCAGGAGTGGCCCTCAGTGCATCCTGGAGGTCGGTGGCCTCACTGAGGAAGCCATGTGCCTGCAGGGAGAGGCCGAACCGCTGAGCTTTGTGAGGATGAGAGGAAAGGCCTCGAGGCTTCTTTGTGGGGAGAGTTTGCAAAATGCCCCTAAGATCTGAACTTAAGCCACAGCTACCTCCCTGCTCTTCCCCTGGGCACACTGCTTGTCCAAGGCCTTCAGGACTGGCTCTGAGGCAACACCATCCCCTGTGGGGGACTCATATCCCAGTCAGCCTGGGGGTCACAGTGCTGCTTCATTCAAGGCCTTACTGGCAAAAGAGAGAAGTGAGAGGCCACACAACACCTTAACGCCATCTCCATCCAACCTACAGTATTCAGTGGGCCTGAATTCTGATGCAACCCAGCCGACTTGCCTATCTGGAGAACCTGAATGAGCAACTAGCAAAGGCGTCTCTGACCAAGAATGCAGGTTTAGGGGCAGGCCCCGTGGCATAATGGTTAAGCTAGGCACACTCCGCTTCGGCAGCCCAGGCTTCGTGGGCTTGGATCCCGGGTGCGGACCTACTCCACTTGTCAGTCATGCTGCGGCAGTGACCCACATATAAAGTGGAAGAAGATGGGCACAGATGTTAGCTCAGGGCTAATCTTCCTCGGCAAAAAAAGAAAAAAATAAGCAGATTTAAAATGGACACAGAGAGAGTAGCAAAGGGGGAAGGTCACAGCAGGGTGGCCAATCTGCTCAGCTAAATCCATCCTGCCTGTCCATGCCAGTCACAGTCAGACTGCCCTAACATCATGTGCCCAGTTGACTGAGTAACCTGGAGTCCACATGGTGGCCGTGCTTCCTATTTATCCATCCCAGCAGGCACAGAGAAGGGGAGGGTTGTAGACGTTGGTTCAATTTAACTTAGTCCACTTGAGGAGGACATGGAAAAGCATGTAACAAGATACAAGGAAGCTTCTGGAAAGTGTCTGGGAAACTTTGTGCCAACAGGTTCTGCAGGGAATTACAGGGAGGTGACAAAGCATTGTGGTTTCAGAGCACAGGTCTGCGGTCAGACTGTCTCGCCTGGCATCCTTGACTCCACCCCTCGCTGGCTGTTATCTTAGAAACCCGCCAGCTGCTCAGAGCCTCAGCTTCCTCATCAGTAAAATAAGCTAATAAAAACCCTAGTCCACGAGAGTTGTGAGCATTAAATCAGATAACAGCAGGTGTAATTTCTTAAAAAAGCACCCCAACCCTGAGTTAACCATTCGGGGCTTCTGACAGCTGGTGATTGTGGCCTAGAAGCACTTACACAAAAAGAAGAAAAGAAAGGGACTTTTGTTTCCTTTGCTCACAGCAACATTTCCAAGAAATGAAACTGTGGTGGCAGCAAAATGGGAACACATGAGGGAAACGTAAAAACACGCAAAGAAGGAAAGCAAAAGAGAGCATTAACATGCCAAGAATTAAAGGACCAATTCTCACCGTCTTCAAGTCAAACTGCAGGTCCAGGGAGCAGTGATAATGAAAACCTCTCTATGTAGCTTTACTACAAGCCTCATCTCTGTGAAAAAAGCGTCAGCAAAACCATTTCCCCTGCTGCACAAGAATTTGACCTTCAGTGAACTGTCTAGCTCTGTTCTCTGGAAACAAACACGCCAGACGTTGTGTGTGTTTCTAGGTAACATCGCTTATGATGTAAAAAGATGCTTGATGGGTAAGTTGCATCCGGACTGGGGAAGAGTACAATGGCTCTTGTAACTGGCTGTCTCTTGTGGGGATCCTGAGGGCTTGGCCAGGACAGTTGTTCCAGGAGATATCGGCCCCTGTGGGACATGAAGCACCTCTTCCTGCCCCAGGTGGATCCCATCTCCTTGCAGCTGAGCTGTCCTGTGCAGCTGCTGGAAGGACTCCCTCAGAAGAAAGGCCTGATGCTGCCCTGCCAGCCAGCTGTGGTTCATCTGCAATGTCGTTCTAAATAGACTCATGCCACGAGGGGGCCAGTGAGTATCTTGTCAGTCAGAATGTTTACTTGAACCTCAGCTAACCTCTAAGTGGGTGTTCCAACTCCCCAGTGTAGGCAGCCCTGCTCATGTATGCTATAAACCACTTGTTCTCCTTATCATTGTCATTGTCATAGTTAACATTCAGAGCACACAAGCTATGTGCCAGCCATTGTGACTGTTCACACACTATATGGTTCAGCCTGAAAATGACACTGAGGTAGATACTACAATAATTCCATTTCACAGGGGAGTGTCCTGGGGCAACTTTTGAGGTTACCCTGGCAGGTAGAGGGGTCAGATATGGGAAGAAGCAGGAAAAAGGCAGGCAAAGAAAGAGAAGGAAAAAAGACTGAGCCGAAAACAAGTAAGCAAACAGCAGGTGTAATTTGACAGATGAACTTGTGTGTGTGCTTAAGACTCGCCCTGGGTAGTGAGCTGACACACACACAATTTGGCATGAAGCAAGGAGCAAAGGGAAGCTGCACTTAAGCAGAGGAAGACAATAATTACAAGAGGCCAAACTGGAAACAGGCAAGCTCTCCCCACGTGGGTCATGTGGGGGTCACGGAGGTTGAACAAATGACCGTCTTCATATGTCTGTCTCAGAGGAACACTGAGCACAGGTCTTTGGTCTTTGGAGCTCCACCTGCCCAAAGAGGGGAAGAAGTCTTTCACTGCCTCATTCTAAACTTAAAAGAACTAAGGTATATGCATACATATGTATCTGCCCATATGTATACATGCATGAAAATGCATATACCCAGATATATTTACAGCTATCTGCATATGTATGCCTGTATGTGTGTATGTCTGTGTATATTTAAATGTGAGGGTCTTAGAAAATTCCATTTCACCACATTAGAGTCACATGTTTATTGAGCAAGGCCAAGACAGAGCTGAAGCACAGAGCACATTCTTACTTACGGTGTCCCACATCACGATGTGCACATCGGTACTGAATGAATTATTAACGTGCTGAGTAATATACAGATTGATAAAATCACAGAAGTGGTGATACATGTTAACACCTAGTATTGGAAAAAAGGAAAACTATGTTAATTAACCCCAAAGAAAAAATAATTAATTTTTATTCTACCCTATATTTATAGTTTGGTGGACTTTTAGCTGAAATAAATGGGGAAAAGAAAGTAAGGGTTTTTCCAAACACAAAATAATCTATACACAGGTAGTCCTCAATTTACAGATTGATTGGGTTCAAAAATTCACTTTAAAATTAGTTATTTAGAAATTAAGTATGTATTTTCCCATATACGCTAAGTAACAAATGATCATTAAGTTCCCAGAAAAGAAAATAACAGAAGTCTATTTAGCTCAAAATGGGGTAGAACTAAAGGGCCATGAAGACTAATCTTATTTTTTATGATCATTTATTTTTTAAAATCAATTAAGCAACACCTGTTCATCACAGAAGTATTGGCAATGATGACAACTATTAACCTTTTGGTATTTCTCATTCCTGTCTTTTTTCTCTACTTAACCACTACTTATAACATTACTTCTTGGGAAAATATTAACCAACTATCATTTAAAAGAAGTGAATGTCTCATGTTCTAATTAAAGGAGTATGAACTTCGGAGTCAGAGGAACCGGGTTGAATCCCCGCTCAGCCATTCATGAGCAAGGTCCTCAGATAAGTTCATAAAGTCCCTAAGCTTCTCTAGTAGAAATAGGGAATCATTATAATTAGGTACAAGTTTTGTAAGGAGAAATCCAAAGATAATGTACCTAAAATCACCCAGCCCAGTGCCTGGGACATAGTGAAACCTTTATGAAGACTACCTGGGTCCTGCTGGGTCAAACAGAGCAAAGGGGAGTGCAGGAGCTGCTGTTTGTAATTTCCTAAATCCGTCACTGAAACGACACAGAACATGTGCGCGCTCTCTCTCTCCCTCTCTCTCTCTGTCTCCTCTCCCTCTCCCCTTAGGTATGCAGGACCCAGCAGCCAACCTGGAAATTTGCAAATCTAAATGGGATGAAATTCCAAGGGACATTTAAAACATGCACTTTAAGAGAGGGAAAATGTTAATTAAAAGAAAAACAGCGACTCTCAAAAAAAAAGCAGAAATCATAAAATATTCTGAGTGCATTCCCACAGTGAATAATAACACTGTGCACCAGAAAACCAGAGTGAGGGGCCGGCCCGGTGGGGAAGTGGTTAAGGTCGCACGTTCCGCTTCTCGGTGGCCCGGGGTTCGCTGGTTCGGATCCCGGGTGCGGACATGACACCACTTGGCACGCCATGCTGTGGTAGGCATCCCACATATAAAGTAGAGGGAGATGGGCACGGATGTTAGCTCAGGACCAGGCTTCCTCAGCAAAAAGAGGAAGACTGGCAGTAGTTAGCTCAGGGCTAATCTTCCTCAAAAAAAAAAAAAAAAAAAAGAAAGAAAACCAGAGTGAAAAACACTGAGTTGATGTAAGTCATTATGCTGTACACCTCAAACGGATACAGTGCTGTATGTCAATTATATCTCAATGAAACGGAAAGAAAGAAAAAAGAAAAAAATACTCAGTTCTTTTTAGACTGGTATCTTAGATTGATGTGTGTAGGGGCTCCTTTTTTTTTTTTTTTTTTTTTAAGATTTTTTTTTATTTTTTCCTTTTTCTCCCCAAAGCCCCCAGTACATAGTTGTATATTCTTCGTTGTGGGTTCTTCTAGTTGTGGTATGTGGGATGCTGCCTCAGCGTGGTTTGATGAGCAGTGCCATGTCCGCGCCCAGGATTCGAACCAACGAAACACTGGGCCGCCTGCAGCGGAGCGCGCAAACTTAACCACTCGGCCACGGGGCCAGCCCCCTGTAGGGGCTCCTTTTTACACATAGAAAATTCTTGGCAGCGAGCATATTTTGAAAAGAATAAGAAAAAGAAAGATCAGTGACAACACATCCCCTTTTCCCAGGTTAGCACCCAACACACATAGCTCTCTCATGTATCACTCAGCAAGTTTATAACATCTGTTGAGGAACGCGGCATGCACAAAACAAAGGTTGGGGTACGAGGATTTATAAATGGGGGGTAAACGCAGGCTCCATCCTCAAGAAAAGTGGCTCCTAGTGAGTCTTGTTCTGTAGAATGCTCATTCCCTCAAGGAAAGAGTTAACATGAAAAGGAAAACTGGATGACAGCATAATTTAGAAGAAAAAGGAGAGTTATGAATATAGGAACGAAATGGCACATGTCTACGCTAGCCTATTATTCCTACTTTACATACTTTATTGCATAAGTATCCACATAAATTTACCAGTTCACACGTATTCAAGTGTTTTACAGGCAGATCACAGGGTTTTCTTTGCCCCTTTTTAATTTGCATATTTTAAAAATGAGTCAGGACCTCGAACATAGCATTTTTACTTGCTCTTATTTCAAAAACCTAAACTTGTCTGACTTCTGAACCTAATACTTTGTAATATAAGAATTATGACTTCAGAAGGCAGAGCACATTAAAAATATGATCAATAAATTATAGTAATTCTGAAATATTCGTGACAGAGGGCTCTCCATATTTCATTGGCAGCCCAGCCTCTCATGAATTTTGATATAGTCTGGCACAGTAATCTTCAACTCTTATAATGAGAGAGGGAATGTGGCACAATTCATGTTTCTCCTCTCCAGGGCAACTGGTTCACAAAGTTAAAGCTATGCTTGCAAGTTGAGAGTTAGAAGCTATAGCCATAAATGGAAAAAAAATTTAATTTTAATTTTTTTCCAAGAATATACCTCAGTGCTAACTTTCAGATGAATTTTAAGCTCACTTTAGTCATGGAAACAATACCAGAAAGTTTGCCAGACGAGGTCATGGGCATTCCCTTCCTTCCCACAGTATACACAAGACTTTTACTTTTAAAGAATTTCTGTTGAAGCACAATCTAACTCAGGAGATTAGAGAAACCAGATGGGGTAAATTTAATTATAAAAGGTGTACATATACCTTCTTCTCTCATCTTTTGACTTTTTTTTTTTTTTTTGAGGAAGACTGACCCTGACTAACATCCGTGCCCATCTTCCTCTACTTTATATGTGGGACGCCTGCCACAGAATGGCTTGATGAGCGGTGTGTAGGTCCGCACCTGGGATCCGAACTGGTGAACCCCGGGCTGCCAAAGCGGAACGTGCGTACTTAACCACTGCACCACCGGGCTGGCCCCTCATCTTTTGATTTTGATTGAGTCCTCTGACAGAAATGCACCGGTTTCTTCTACAATACCAAAGGCATTAAATAATGGGAAGTTCAAACCAGTCCACTTCTTCAGAAGAAAGCAAATCCACTGTTTAATGTCGTACTGCTTCCCAAAAAGTCATAGGAAATCACTACATACATATATCAAAAATGAAACAAAGCCTCACTATTGAATAAATAAATAATAGACAAATAAACTTCTCACCTGCATCCAATTTCATGAAGTAGGTTGGCTTTTCAATAACAATGTCACATTTAGCATCTTCTATAGGTCTGAAGGGGAGCTGCGTGTAGCTTTGCAGCTCAGCAAACCTGGAATCATGAATTGGGAGAGGCTTTCAAAGTGAGCCTCCTGGACTTCCTACTGCAACATTGTAACTTTGGGTCTCTTCATTAGGGGGACTTGACTTCTAGAACATGCTCTTATGAAGACATATGGAACTTCCCCAAATTACTAACATTTATATAACTTGATATCGATTTTAATGTTGAGACAAGAAACAAAAATGATTTTACGTTTCAGCCTAATGTGAAAGATAAACCAAGAACTTTCCAGATAAAGAAGAAATTTATACACTGAGTTGGCTGAATAATGTACCAGTAAAGTGGGAAGATTCAAAAAGGTTTCCTACAGTTTGACAAGGCTGAGAAGCGACAATGACCCACAAATCTCTTGTGATGGACTTCTTGGATTCTGAGAAAGATGGCATCCCAAAAATTACCCAGTGCCTCAGAAAGACAGCAGACAGCCAAGCTTCCCAGGAGAAAGGAAAAGTCTTTTTCTCAGAAACATCTTTGCACAGTTTTCTTCCATATTCAAGAAGACCACCACAAGCACGTGACAAGAGATATGTAGAGTTAACCTAAAGATCATTGGTAACTCTTCATCTTTGAGACCACATGTGATATAAAACAAATATTAAATAGATACCTGTGAAACACACACAACGCTGAAATACTGTGGTGGTTTCAAAAATATGTCCACAAATTCTTTGATACTTCTCTCTTCAAGAGGTAAAGTTGAATTCCCTCCCCTTGAGTGTGGGCTCAACTTAGGGATTCACTTCTAATGAAGAGGATGCAGCAGAAGTGATGATGTCTTACTTCTGGGATAAGGGGATACAAAGACTAGGCCTCCATCTTGGAGCATGCTCTCTCTCTCTCTCTCTCTCTCTCTTTCTCTCAGACCATGTGCTCTTGGAGAAGCCAGCTGCATGCTGTGAACAGCACTAGGCAGAAGCCTGTGTAGCAAAGACATGACACCTCTGGCCAATAACCAGAGAGAAACTCAAACTTACAACAACATGAGTGAGCTTAGAAGCAGAATCTCCAGGCCCAGTTGAGCCTAGAGATGACTACAGCCCTTGTCAATGCTGAACTGCAACCTCATGAGAGACTCTGAGCCAGAACCACCCAGCTAAGCTGCTTCCCATCCTGACTGTCGAGAAACTTTGTGAGACAAAAAATATTTGTTGTCTTATCCTGCTAAGTTTTGGAATAATTAGTTAATTAGCAATAGATAATGAATACATATATACTCTGAGGAATATTTTTGTAGTAATTTGTTACGCAGCTATAAATAACTAATACAAATACACCCTAGGGAACTACCAGGTGGAATCGGATATCAAAATGTACTGGGAATCACAAGTGCCCACTGGAATACAGGAAATCCTACTACAGAACTCCATTAAGTCAAGGAAGATGCCGCACTGCAGACTGTAAAATGCCATACAAATGGATGCTAGATTATTATTCTGAAGGATCTGTTTAGCAGTAATGTTTGATCTGAAAAATTAACATTATTTAAGACTATCCTATGTGGCTTGTGATCCTGTGATTTATAATAAAAAATATATATTTGGTCTTTGTCCCCATTCCTGGCACAGAGTTCCTAAAACCCTTAGAATTTCCAAAGTGATGGGAGCCATAAAGGTGTCTTTTCTTATGTTAATGAGGTGACATTTGGACCACCTCTAAGGTTGGGGGCTGGTTGCCAGGAAAATCAACCATGTGATTAGAGGGTTGGAACTTTCAGTCACACCCCTTTACCTCCAGGGAGGAGAGAGGGGCTGGAGGTTAACTCAATCGACGTTGGCCAATGACTTAATCAATCATACCTACGTAATGCAGCCTCCATAAAAACCTAAAAGGGGGGGTTCGGAGAGCTTCCAGGTTGGGGAACACATGGAGATTTGGGGAGAGTGGCCCACCTAGACAGGTCATGGAAACTCTGCACCATTTCCCCACACCTCACCCTATGCATCTTTTCCATCTCTATCCTTTTATAATAAACCAATGATCTAGTAAGTAAAATATTTCTCAAAGTTCTGTGAGCCACTCTAACAAATTAATCAAATCCAAGGAGGGAGTCTGAAATGGGGTTAGGGGGCAATCTTGGTGGATTGGGGCAATCTCCAGGTAGACAGTGTCAGAATTGAGTTGAATTGTAGGACACCCAGCTAGTGTCAGAGAATTGCTTGGTGGTGTGGGAAAACCCCACACACACATTGGAACCGGGTGCCCAGAACCTTAGACTACAAAGGGGTAGCACGAGAGTTTCTTTGAGATGATAGAAGAGTTCCATATCAGGATTGTGGTAGTGTTACATGAACCTAAACATGTGATATAATTTCACAGAATTAGAATTTCATAGAACACAGAATTCCATAGAATTTCATGTATTATCAAAAAAAAATGAGAGCATACAAGCACTGGTGAAATCCCAATGTGTTTAGTTAATAATAATGTACCAGTGTCAATTTCCTGGTTTGGGTCACTGTGCTATGGTTACGCAAGATGTCATCAAGAGAGGAAGCTGGGGTAAGGGAACAATGGGCACTCCCAGTACTATGTTTAAACTTCTGTGAGTCTAAAATTATTTTGAAATAAAAAGTTTTTTAAAGTACCCTAAATCCTTAATTTCTAGAGATGGTCAATTTCTTGATAGACCATTGAACTAGTTCAATATGAAAAATGTTTTAAATCAAAATGTGTTCCCCAATTTATATAAAGTTCAAAAAGTTGATCGATGGTGGTGAAAGTCAGCGTGAAGATGGGGGTTGTCAGTGGGAGAGAGCCTGGGGTGCTGGTGATGGTCTGTTTTGGACCTGGGTAAGAATTACACAAGTAGGTTCGCTTTTTTAGAAACCAAACTATACACTTCTCTATATGCTTGTTATGTACTTCAATAAATGTGCATTTCTTTTAAAAATTTGTTCCCTAAGACACATGTAGCAATTATGAGGAGTGAACAAAAATTCATTTTTTAACTGATTTTTTCTTTCTTAGCAAATGGTAAGTACTATATAATATATCCTAATATTTTATAAATGTATATTTAATTCAGATACAACTGACAGATTCACTCTGTAGCCACCACTCCCCGGAAGCTCGTGCCAAAACATCTACAAATGAAGCAACATTTCTCATTTGAAAGTTGCTACCAAAATCTTCAAGTGCCAGACATAAAGGCAAATATTTTAGAAACATATTTTTAAAAAAGATCTTACCAAGACTGCAGAGGGCTCTTGCGCTGACCTTCAGACATCAACGTACGAATATCAAGTTTACAGTGTCCTCCAATTTCGCCACTCTGGAAAAAATCTTCCTTAAATCTGATAGAAAACAAAAAATTAAGTTGAGTTCAGAAAATTTTTTCATGACTCAAGCACATGGGTTGTAACTAAGGTGGTTTACCAACTTCCAAAGCCAGTTTTTCATTAGAATTTAACTCGTTATAATAGAATATTTCAAATGTATACAAAAGTACCAGAATGGTATAGGAAACTGATGGACCCATAATCCAGCTTCCCAATAATCAACTTATGGCCAATGTAGGTCTTCCATCCCCCACCCCTTCCCCAACCTCATCACCATATTATTATGAAGCAAATCCAAAGCACACCCCTGGACCTGAAAATATTTCTCCATTAGATTTTAACATCAACCACTTAAGTACCTGTCGTGGTTTCTCTGGATGTTTCTTAAATCCAGATAGAGATTGGCTGCTCTGCAATACTGAAGATAACGGGAACATACCAGACTTGAGTCATTCTGAAAGAAGGTTGAGAAAAAAGAAAGAAAGAACTCCAAATATTAACATTTCAAGGACACCCCCAGACTTGCTAGACATGTTGACAGCATGTACACCTTCAGGTCCAAACCACACAATGTGAAGAGGAAAGCTCCCCAAACACTTCTCCTGTTTAAGGATTTCCTCCTCCCAGAAGACTGGCCAAGCATAGTTTTGCCAATTGGCACACTTTTAGGCTACTGTGAAGAAGTCCCAAATGTTCTATATATACTTTTATCTGCTCTGGATTTTATTTATAGATTTAAATACCATTTTATTATTTTTCCCATAACTCCCAATGAATACAAGGCCTTAATCTTGACCTGCATGGGGTTCTGAAATCCGGAGTTGATAATTGATCAGACTCTGATAGCACAAAACTTACCAAGGGAGATCTCGGCCAGGAAAGCATTCCACAAACCACCTTGGGAGAGGTGTGCACAGTGGGGTTGTGGCTCTTTCCCTGCCCTTCCCACAGGAACAGCTAGACTCCAGCCAAAGTATGCAACATACGAAACAACGTCTATTAGAGGCACTGTGCAGCAGTGCTAGAACTTGCTAGAACTGCTTAAAGTTTGATTACGTGACATCCTCCAAAAGCACTAGAGAGCATATATTCAGTTTTTTAATGCAAGTGAATTTAAAAACCTTTTTTTTAATTTTCTAGATTGCCTGGAGATAATGGAGACTCCTAAGATGTCAGAGACTTGGCCAGGGTTCAAGAACATTGGGAAATAATAGGCTTTGACAATAAGTACTGACAACTCCACAGACCTTTAAAAACTACTACTGAGCCCTCTGCTGGGAGCCAGGCCCTGCACTGAGCATTTCTATATGCAGAATCTCATCTCAACCTTACTACGAGCTATGAAACAGGCACAGCTTGAGAGCAGAAGAAATTGAAACATGGAAAGTTTGGGTGCCCTGTCCGAGAATCAGGATTTGAACCCTGCAGGGTGGAGCCTGCTCTTCTACTGACTACTCCAAAACTGCCTCTTGGCAACGTGTTCATCTTACCCACTGAGTGCCAGGTGGTATGGTTGAAGACACACAGAAAAGATCTGCATTTTAAATCTAGATGTCTAATTCTACATGGCAGCTGTGTGGTCTTGGGGAAGTTGCTAAACTTCTCTCAGGACCCTGTTTTCTTCTCTGGTCAAGTGGCATCATTAATACCTGCCCTGCCCATCTGCTATAATGCTTATGAGAATCAAACCAGCTAACATATACAAAAGCTTTTCGCAAATTGTAAAGTCCTAAACAAACATAGAGCAGTATGGTGGGGGTGTTTCATCTGTCCCAAACTACTCACGAGGGAATTTATAAAGATGCAATTTATCAGTTTATCTTCTGAACCCTTGTACACTGATGGTGGGAATGAAAACCGGTGCAGCCACTATGGAAAACACTATGGAGATTCCTCCAAAAATTAAAAATAGAGGGGCCAGCCCAGTGGCACAGCGGTTAAGTTCACACATTCTACTTCGGCGGCCCGGGGTTCACCAGTTTGGATCCTGGGTGCAGACATGGCACTGCTTGGCAAGCCATGCTGTGGTAGGTGTCCCATGTATAAAGTAGAGGAAGATGGGCACGGATGTTAGCTCAGAGGCACTCTTCCTCAGCAAAAAAGAGGAGGATTGGCAGCAGATGTTAGCTCAGGGCTAATCTTCCTCAAAAAAAAAAATTTTTAAATAGAACTACCATATGATCCAGCTATTCCACTCCTGGGTATTTATCCAAAGAACATGAAAACACCAATTCAAAAAGATATATGTCCCCTACATTCACTGCAGCATTTTTCACAACAGCCAAGACTTGGAAACAACCTAAGAGCCATTGACAGATGAATGGATAAAGAAGATGTGGTAGAAATACACAATAGACTACTACACAACCATAAAAAAAGACAAATCTTGCCATTTGTGACAATACGGACGGACCTTGAGGGTATTATGCTAAGCGAAATAAGTCAGACAGAGAAAGTCAAGTACTGTATGATTTCACTCATATGCAGAAGACAAAACAACAACAAACATATAGATAAAGAGAAGAGACTGGTGGTTACCAGAAGGGAGAGAGGGAAGGGGGCGGGCAAAAGGGGTAAAGGGGAACACGTATCCAGTGATGGACAGGAACTAGACTTTGGGTGGTGAACGTGACGTAGTCTATACAGAAGTTGAAATATAACGATGTATACCTGAAATTTATGTAATTTAATAAACCAATGTTACCTCGATAAAAAAAATAAAAGATGCAATTTATCAATTTATCTTCTTTAGCATATGTCAGAGGGAAAAATTCTAAACCTCGTAATATTTTTAACAACCTCAAAATATGACCATCTGATATATGTGTGAAAACAAGGACATGGCTTCCAAATGAAACAGAACAACTTGGTTTGGGAAGTTAAAGTTTTAAGCCAGTAAAACATGAGAGTGAGGGATTCCTTTCAGAGTGCCATCTATCTTGTTTTCACATTACGATCTAAACACTGTGAGTATTTTGAAATAAACGCACTCATTTACTAAGGGACTAAACACCCACCACTTCCTCAGGCCGGCAGAGCACGCGCAGTTCCCCCAGCCGCTCTCCGGCGTATCCAAAGTCAGCTTGTTTCCAGAATATGTCCTGGGCTGATTCAAGAGTGTCCGTCCTATTTGCAAACAAAATGATTCTGTGATTTTTTTCTTTTTACTTTTTCAGGACCTTGAATTTTCTTTCTAAACATTAAACTGCTAGAAGTCTGTCGTTGCTTTAATGTTTTTAAAGTAAACTATCATAATTTTCCTAAAACTATCCTCACTAAATGAAGTTACCAAAATAAGTTATTTATAGACTTACTCCCTCACAATAAAAATATACAATGGAAATGTACGAAGTTGGGATCATCTGGAACTGAAGACAATGAAATAACTACAGTTAATTACTGTATTTTCTTTACCCCATTAACGTTGCATGTACTGGAAATACTAATTATACTGAACTCTCCCCTCCAGAATGAAGAGGAAACCATCAATTTATCTTCTTAGTGTTTGTTGGGGGAAAATATTTTCTGTGATCCATACTGTCTTCTCCCTCTGGCAGAGGAAATGACAGATATTTCTGTCCCGGAGGTGACGGACGGGGGAGGTTAGTCAAGTTGAATTCATGACTGTGTAAGTAAATTAATAACTGAAGGAATTCCTGTCTAAAACCCAAAGAGTCTAGCTGGGACCTGGGGCATCAGCATACACGGCAGAGAAAGCTGACTTAAAGGGGAGAAGGGAGTCCATCTAGAAACTTACCATCCCATGTCGACATAGGTGCAAACAGGATAACCAAACCTGAACTCTGGTTTGCAGGATTTCTCATAACCCCAGCAGTACTTTAGATTTTCTAAGTGTTTCTAGAACATAAAACATGTACATTTAGACTGGTCTCTCTTCTTCCGACATTTAGAGAGGACTCTTAGATTTTTCCATGAAGAAAACAATTCCTTATAGAACTTTCATTTTCACATTTTACAATAGGTATTCATGTAATAAAAATAAAGAGAGTAAATTCTAAGAATAGCATCTCAAGGCTCTTAACAATTATCTTCAATCATCACCCCCCTGCCATGTCTGTCCCCTCACCAAAATTTGAGGCTTTACCTAGATAGACTACCAAAGACCACTTGAATTGGAATTTCTGGAAGTAGTTAATGCCTTTCTCAGTAGGCAAACTGATTCTAAAATCAGTCCCTAAAGAGTCAGATAAAATGGAATTTCTATCACCAAAAGAATCTTGGCTAAATTGAAGGGATCAGGAACTTTACTCATCAATCAAGATCAGCAGAGACCCCACAAGACAGTGACAGCTCTGCGGCCCTTGGAGGACACAGCAGCTGCTATTGGCCAGTGAGGTTAGAGGGCCCTTCAGCAAGGCCCAGGAGCAGCACTGGTCTGTTCCCAGGTCTGCTTCTCCATATGCTTCCTGTGCCAGCACCATGGGAAAGGAAGTGTCACACAATGCCTGGCTTTGATCTCTAAGGCCTCCCTAGACGTCTTAACAGGCTCCAATTTGAGGCCTTTCCAACAACTCCAAAACAGAAGGAAGGCCACAGGAACAGTCTTAATCACAGGGAGACAGAGGCGGAGGTGTTGTTACTGAAATTAAGTGCTAAGAGACCCTCTTCAGTGCCGTTTAAGAAAGAAGAGGTGTGACATTCTTTAGTTACCTTTAACTAGATATTCTTTTCTGTATAAAATCTAATTTGCTTCATTTACAGAGTATACAGATAATATTGGCCGCCTATTTATTTTACTAGTGATTTAGATTTTAAATGTCACTCTTGTGAGTGGGACATAATTTGAAGCAAAGTTTAGTCACTTAGAAGCGTTAGATGAAATACAGTGATTGACTCCCGGTTACAACCAACAGATCAAATTCTATTTCCAGGTTCAAGTCACAGAACAGAACTAGTAAGCCAGCCTAAATGGCACCCTTTTAAAAATAAACAAATATTATTTCTTCAAATAATAACTTACCTTATAAGGACAGTGCGAGTCTTTCTTACAGACCGTGGCAATATGCCCATTATTGTGCAGAAAGAAGGGAATGTGCTCTTCGGGCAGGCGGATGCTGGCATAGTTAAACAGAGGTTCACCTGGAATGCCATCAGCCTCGGGGGAAGCCTCAGCTTGGCCACTCAGTGGGATGTCATGAAGTAATACTCCAAAGACAAGCAGCATTAACATAGCAACCTCCAAACCTAGAGATCAAATTGAAAACATCTTCGTTAACACAGAGCCTTTAAAAGTCAAAGGGTTCAAGGGCCAAGTATAATAGCAACAAATTTTGTTGCATCACCGAGTAATGTTCCTTTATTTAACCAATATTTATTGTGCATGTGTTATAAGCCAGGCACTGTGTTGGGAACCAGGTATACAGGGGTGAACCAAACAAGAAACCCCTGCTCTCATGGAGCTTATAACCTAGTGCAAGAGACATAAAAGAAACAATCAAATAAATAGACAACTTCAGATGATGACAAGAGCCGTGAATCAAATAAATCAGGGGCTGCCAAACTTTTTCTGGAAAGGGCCAGGCAGCAAATATTTTTGGCTTTTCAGGCCACACCGTCTCTGTGGCAACAACTCAACAGTGCCTTTGTCAGGAAAGAAGCCACAGCCTCTGCTAAAGGAATGGGGTGGCTGTGTTCTAAAAAACTAAATGGGAGGAGAGCCTTGAAATGACCCAGTTTGCTGATACCTGAATTAAAGTAAGGTAATATGATAGACAATATAGTACGGTGGTTAAGAATATGGACCTTAAAGCTAGACTCCTTAGGTTTGAATACAGCTGCAGCTTCCTAAGCTGTATGACCTTGAGAAAGTCATTTAACCTTTCTGTGCCTCCGCTTTTCCATCTGTAAAATGGGAATCATAATAAACCTTCCTCATAAGCCTGTTGTGAGTTAAATATTGATAAAGTGTTTAGATGTACCTGGCACATTAAATGCTATGTAAGTATATATTAAATAAATGTTTAAAGCTATGTGGGATGGGGTGGCGGTTGGGGTTGCTAAATAATAACATTTGAGCTGAGACTTGAATGATAAGGAGTGGGGAAAACATGCCAGGGAGAGAGAAGACGTGCGATGGCTCGGAGCAAGTGCGTATCTGCTGAATAAAAACTAATAATCACAATCAGTCTGTGAGTGTAAACTATGTGCTAGATACTCTTCAAAGAACCAGCGATGATGCAGTGAACGTGCAGTCGAGAACTAAACTGTGCCTTTGTGAAGCTTACATTCTGGTGGGTATAATAACAACCTATGATAATAATAACTAAGACTTAGAAAACTCCAAAAGTGAAACCCAGGCAGTGTGCCTCAGAGACGGTGCCCTTAAATTCCCCCCGTCCTGCCTTAGTCTTGTGAAAGGAGATAACGGCCATGGCTGTTACTGCATTTCTAACTCACTCCACAAGGATTAAATCTTAGACAGGATTTCTCCTAGAGATCACAGAAAATAATCATGCCTTTCTGGATTCACCTTAGTGGTATCTTTGCTCTATTCAAAAAAAAGAAAAAAAGTGCTCCCTCCCCTGGCTGACAGAACCATATTACACATTCGCTGTCACTGGGGCAAACTGGAAAACCCAGCTTTCAAAATCAGTCTTCGTTGACTATGGGCCATGACAACGAGGCCTTTAGAAATAGACTGCTACGTGTGAGAAGAAATCCTTTTCCCCTCTAGAGTGGTAAATATAGTTACTCTTCTTTTAGGTGGCTCTGAAGAATATATTATCTGTTGTAAAGGTGATCCAAATTAATATTTTTAGTTAGGACTTTAAGCCAACAGTGAGTTGATAGCAATTTTACAAAACTTAAAAATACATATTAATAGTAACAGTGACGCTCCTTAGACTGAAAATACTTACCTCTTTAATCCTCAGAACCACCCAGAAGCTGTTGTGAGGCTTCAGGCATTTACAACCTGTCAGAAATGAAACATATTACCTTAAAAGGATGCTACAGTAGACTAACATCCAGGTGATATTTTGAACTAAAGGAACTATTAAGGGAGAAAATAATTTAATGAGATAACATGTAAGCAGGGGGCCTGGCATTTATCGAGATCACGCCTACGCAGAAGGCGAAGCACGTGCTCATCTTTGCCTTAATGAATACTATACTGCTAAAAGTTACAGGACCACCCACAACGTGGTCACTTAGACTAGATTCCAAGGGTGAGCAGGAAGGAGACGGTCCTCTTTATACAAGCATCAGCCGGTATGGCCAACCCGACACTTCGCAGGTAAAGCATTCCCCGGAGCCAACGACTTGCCCTGAGCCCACTGTAGCAAACCTGCTCACCGAATCCCAGGGCTCCCTGGGCCTCACTCCTACCTGAGCCTGAAGGTTCTCCAGGCAGGAACTCTCCTTTGCTCATCCTTCCCAGTTATAAAGTCATTACTATGATCCAGCCCTAACCTCTGGTTATCCAAGTCTATTGTCCGCGACTGAGCTCTAGCCAGAACCAAACCCAGCGATCCATGGAGAAGGAGTAACGCTTAGGTCGTGGGAAAAAGCTAAAGACTGAGATCAGAAACTTGGCTTTGGCGGAGGGCAAGTACGCACTTGCATAAGCTAGGTGGAGGTGGCTGCTGGTGCACGAAAGCACAGCCCCGGGGCGGGCAGAAAGCCTTTCCGGGGCTGAGTCCTCTCGCTAGGCCCCGCAGGGATGGGTGGGTGCTCTTCTCCAGCAGATGGAAGCTGGAGCGGCGGAGCTACTTTTTCTTTCAGCTCCAAACAGCGGGCTCCCTCCACGTCTGTATTCCTTGACTGGATTTCCACAGGCCTACAAAGAGGGAAGGAAAAAGGGGAGAGCCTGAAGATGATGAGAGGTGAAAGCCCGAGGCTGATAGGGACCACAGCGCGTGAGACGGGGCAATGCTCTGCGACAGAGCTTGGAAAGTTTAAAGGCAGTGGACAGACGAAAAGTCAAACGCATCTGAGACTCACACCGGCTCGTAAACGGCTGGCCCCCACGAGTGCGTAGGTCTCAAGCTCAGGACAAGGCAGGGGGTGAGAAAGGGCTGGGTTGCCCCAGACGCCGAGGTGGAGTCACCAGCCATCTGCTAAAACGTCAGTCCGGGACCAGGGCGCCAGGGCAAGGGGCGCGCGCCCCTGTGCAGCCACGATGCCGTGTGGGGGTCTCCAGCCCAGGCGCCGCCGGGGCTGCTTCGGGGGTGCAGAGATCCTCGGCGACCGCTCGCCACCCGGCCCCGCACCCCGCCCCAGGTCCCCGCCGCGCCTGTGGGGAGAGCGGCTCCGCCCCGGCCTGGGAAACCGGTCAATGGGGCGCCGGCCGGGAACCGGCATCCTGCCCTGCGCCCGGCGGGCTCCCGGGAGCCCTGCGCGCCGCTGCAGCCCGGTGGAGGAGCCGAGAGCCCGGGGCCCGGGAGTGCCAGGGCCGGCTTCCCGACGCCCTCCTCCCCGGCCCGCAGGCGACGGGAAGGCGCTGGAGGATCCTGGAGAGACTACAGCCCGCCGGGGAGCCGCGCCGGGAGCGGGCAGAGCGCCTCCCGCGCGCCCGGGCGGGAAGGCGCGCCGAGTGCAGACCCGGCGGGAAGGCGCGGGCGAAGGCTCCGCGGATCGCCCGGCGAGTCCCACCTGGAGCCTGGGGAGCCGGGGCTACCGAGGAACAGCAGATGGCTTCGCTCGGGAGAAGAGTCGTCATAACCGGCTCCTGCCGCTCACCGGAAACCTCCGGCGCCGGCGCCGGGCCAGGGGGCGCCAGGGAGCAGCCGGGCCACCTTGGCCAGCCTGCGCGGGGAGGCGGGCCCGAGCCCCGCGAGGGGGCGGTCCCGGCGGGAGCCGGGTGACACCGGGCAGGGTAGGGACTCCGCGCGCGGGGCGGGACGCGGGGCCCGCAGGGAGGGGGCTGGGAGGGCCCTGTGCTTCTCCCTGGGCTCTGCCGCCAAGGTCACTGTCAGAACCTGGGAGCCGGCTACCTAAGCAGAGCTAGACAGATGGTGCAGATTCTCTGGAGTCCTCGCACATTGTATAGTAGTATCCTGGCTCTCTCCGTACCGTGCTCTCCCGAAACTCACCAAGTTCGAATGCTACCCTGTGGAGTTTGATTTTTATCGTTTTATTATTTTATGATTATTTGAATTATAATTGCTTATTTTTATTTTCTCAGGATTATTTGAACGCGTATCTCCCACACTGTCTTCTACTCTTGGCACCGTTGGTCCTGCTGTGCTGTCTAGTACAGAGCACAGTCGAGTTGATCATTAAATATTGATTCAACTTGAACTGGTTAAAGGAAGGTCGATACCATCAAAATAAATTTATGCTCAGACATATAAAGTCACCAGATTAAGTAGCATGATCATAAGGAAACACAACGTTTGCTTCCAAAGGCTTACATGCTTTTTAAATAATAATTCTTAAGATACTGTTAGGAGAACTGTTACAAGTTCCAGAGGTAACCTGCTAAATTAAGAATATTATCTAGATTTTTTTTGCGAATAATAACAAAAACCACATACAGTATTTAACATATGCCAAGCATTATTCTAAAGTACTTTACAGTCCTAACTTACTCTTTATGTAAAAGATTTTGCCTCTAAGGCAAGCAAGTACTGCTCTGTTATTGCATACTTTGCCCACCCCATACCAATAAGGACAGTAATTTTTAAAAGTGCGTTATCAGCTTACTTGCCACCATCCTATTTTTGTCACGCACAGGAAATGTAGCTTTCCTGTTAATTCAAAATGAATGGTGGTCATTTAACATAAATTTTTAAACAAACTGGTTTGCCACTGAGTGGTGTGCAGTAAAGATATACATATGGTACATATATAGCCTAATACATGAGAAAGGCTCCTAAAAATAGGTTAGTCTTATTGCAAGGACATACAAGCCAATTAAATTGGTGTGACATGCACATGGTGCTATTTTAAATGGCTACATATTAACTTATGGTCATTCAGACTCAGAGGAAACAAGATAAGGGGCTTTAAGAACATGAGATTTGGTTCTCATACTGCCAACAGCCATTCTCAACACAGAATTCCCCCCCAAATATAAATCAATGTTAAAACTTAATTTTAAATTTTCTTCAAATTGACATTACAGTAAACTCGAAAGTCTACTAATAGGAGACTACTTGAATCGACGATGGTATATCCACACAATTTAGAACAATGCAGGTGTAAAAAAGAATTGAGAAATATCTCTATACACCACAGGATGTATCACTGAGTGGAAAAAGCACAGTGAAAAAGGATATGTAATATTCTATCATTTATTTAGGAAAGGAGATATGTATATAGTTGTTTATGCGCTCCACTTTGGCAGCCCAGGGTTCACTGGTTCAGATCCCAGATGCAGAGCTACACAGCACTTATCAGGCTATGCTGTGGCGGGCATCCCACATATAAAATAGAGGAAGATGGGCACAGATGTTAGCTCAGGGCCCATCTTCCTCAAAAAAAAAAAAAAAAAGCCAAGAAACGATAAACGCTGTAGCAAGAAGCACCCCCTGTGCCCAGATTATGATCTCTGCAAACCATTTCCCATTAAAAGGAACACAAGCTCCACAGAAAAATGGATAATCTTAGATATGGGGCAAGAAATGTACAGGGAGAACCTGAAAGATCTCACATGAGGAAGCAGGGAAGCAATCAAAGGTGATGAGGGTTATAGCAAAAGGACTCAGAAGCAGGTAGGGAATGAGTACAAAGGGTTAAGGGGAGCACTTATATGGTGATGGACAAATAATAATGTACAAGTGAAATTTCACAATATTCTAAACTATTATGACATCAATTGGAAAAAAATCGCCACCAAAGGAAAAAGAAAAAAGACTCAGGGACCAATTTGAAAGGCTGCCTCTGGCCAAAGACAGGATAATTTAAAGCATCAATAAAGGTAACTGTAATGGATTGAGGACAAATATATTTAAATATCATATTCAAGAAGATCCAACCAACCAACCAAATACACGAGCCCAAACCCTTATGTTCATCTCTCATGACAGAAGGGAACCGACTCTTACTGTGAAAACTAGTAAATAAAGGAAAAGAATCAAGTGTATTTATCCTGTCTTTCCTCTATGAATTAGGATGCAAGTAACCAAATAGTTGATGAGGTAAAGTTACTTTTTACAGAAACAGTCCATACTTAAATATGATAATCAAACCGTATGTCTGAAATTTGCTTCACAATAGTCAGTGTAGGTTGGGAGGAAGCACAAATGAGATATGAATGAAACAAAGTAGACCAAGTGTGGAACACTATTAAAGAACATCTGTTAATGAGTATATGGGGATTCATATTCTTTTCTCTTTTGTGCACGTTCGAAATTTTGTATAGTCATAATTTTTACATTGCATTCCAAGTTTGTTAAATGTGTTGTAAGTTTGTTGCTCATACACTGCCGTTTTGGATAGCCACAAAGAACGTTAGAAAAATACTGAACTATCAGCAGACGGTAGTTTATTGGTTCTCTGATACATGCAACTGCTTAACTATAATTCAAAGGTACTGAAGTTTTAAGCAAATAAATTTTACTAAAGTTGATTTTATGCTACAGTTGATCTATGTGAGTATGATTTTACAGAAAAGCAGTAAGAGAAGCACCACCATATAGTTAATGGTTCAGAGCATGGACTCTGGAGCCAAACTCCATCAATCAGAATTCCAGCTTTGCCACTTACTTGCCCTACGACATTGAGCAAGTTACTTAACCTTTCTTCATTTTAAAAATGGAGATGATGGTATCAACTTTAACAGGCTGATTTGGAGATAAAGTGCAATTCTGTTTCCAAAATTCTTGGGACCATTTGTGTTCCTGAATTTTTTTTTATAGAATAGGGTATGCACACCATTCATTACCTAACACCCTCCTTGTACCCTGGGTCAGCATCCCATAATCTCACCCAGTATTTCTGTAGCAAAAAGTTTGAGTACTCTAAGTAAGATAAAGTCTGTAAATAGCCATGTCAGTGCAGGTCAGGCTTTACCACTAAAGCAGATGTGACAGCAAACTTATAAAAAAGCTATTTGGTTTTCAGAGCTTTCTAGATTTCAGAAGAGTAGATAAGAGATTATGATCCTATAAAAATGATTTCCTTACACAGTAACAAAATAAGCAATGTGTTTCCTACTACCAATATGACCACAGACTTTTGAGGAACATGTATTTTTAAAAATTAAGATAGTAATTTCAAAAGAGGGGCTGGCCTCGTGGCCAAGTGGTTAACTTTGTGTGCTCCACAGCGGCGGCCCAGGGGTTTCGCCGGTTCGGATCCTGGGCGCAGACATGGTGCCGCTCATCAGGCCATACTGAGGTGGCGTCCCACATGCCACAACTGGAGGGACCCACAACCAAGAATATACAACTATGTACTGGGGGGCTTTGGGTAGAAAAATGAAAAAAAAAAAATAAAATCTTTAAAGAATAAATAAATAAATAAAATCTGTAATTTCAAAAGAAACAAATGGGCATGGCATTGTATACAACAGAAAGGAACATCTCTATCTACCAGGCTCTGCCCACCACTACCTGTAAAAGCAAGAAGACAGTTTCATATTTAGCAAGCAGAAAAACCTCTCATTACTGTCTTGCTTAATATTGCAGATTCTAAAATTAAATTTAGCTTACTTGGGAATGGGGCAATATGAAGAATAAACACTGGACAGCACTAAGAGTAAATTCTCTTCATCACAATTGTGGGTTACTGAAGCATTTTGGTTTTGTTTGTTTTGAGAAAAAGTAAGTATTAAGAAGAAAGTTATTTAATTTTCATTCCATCTTCTTCAACGATCCTGACGTGCAAAAAAGTAAAATGGATATGTGTAAGGCAATAGCTTAAAAGTACTTTAAAGGATCAAAGTTGCAGAGTTCAATAGTACAAGCAATATGAACTCAAGAATAGAGGTAACCTTTTATCTGTTATTTGAATAGAAATATAGGCTTTTAGAAGAATATCTTGATACTATTTAAGATTTTTAAAAGATACAAGTCATCCTGTAATTACAGTTAGTTACAGTAAGTAAATTCTTAAAAACATATCTTCATTAGGAAAACTACGCTTAACACTAATACTACTCAATAATATAACTCAGAAAATTGGGGCTTATCCTCATTTTCTTAAAATATGAATTCTAAAGTTAAACAAGTTATATTATCTTCATAAAACAATACTACCTTCATTCATTGGTATTGACCACTCTAAACTGTTAAAAATGAAATACATTATTACTATTTTAAAATCTTTATTCAAATCAGATCCATGCTTATTATTTACATTATCTTTCATTTAGAATTAAAATATTATAATATCAATCTGTAGTTTAAATCATACTTTTAGTCTTTTACAAAATATGAAATTAAAGTTGTTATAGTTTAAAACTGAATAGAATAGGGGAAATTAGATTTTTTAGAAATTGAAAATGAAAAATTATGATATACTAGGACATAAAAGTATATATACTCAATAACTAGTAGTAAAACAAGATAAAATATCTACAGTTATTTTCTCTTTTTTCTTGTGGCTATTTTCTAAATACTATAAATCATACACTTTTAATAAGCACTTGAATAAAACTTTCAATTAATAAATCAAATGCCAATTTAGGAATCATGAGAAAAAAATTTTCCTCAACATTCTTTTCACTTATTTAACTACAAAAACTCATGTTTCCCGAGGTCAGAAATTATTCATATTTAGAATATCTTAAAGCACAATATAGACACATTTGATACATTCCCATATGCTAAACATCATACAACTGGAAGTTCTCAAAAAAAGAGGCAAAGGAAAAGAAGGAAATAGTAGTCTCAATTTAGCTTCCTAAGAGTTGGAAGGACACCTATAGTCTGTGCTTAATTGCCACATATAAAACAACAATGTTCACACCTCTTTTACTTTTATATTCTTAAAATTGTTATGATTTGTAGTATTTGCCTGTTTTCTTTCAAGAATGGAAACATCTAACTGCAAACAATTTTCTTATGCATTAAAATACAAATATTATCTTACTAGAATTTGGATAGAGGAGTTTTAATGACAGAGCAAAATACAGCAACCAATATTCAATAGGTACTCTGCTACTTGGAGTTTTTCAAAGAAACTGATTCAGTACACCTTCTCAATATAAATATAAATGTATTGAGAGATCTAAGTGTATAATAATCATACTAAGATCAATATATGATTATTAATTTGAGAATAAAGAATAACATGGTAATATACAGGCTGAGACTTAAATAGCTGCTTGTCATTTTTAAATTAAATAAATTGAAAACACTTTAAAATCTTAAGTTGAATTGATTTTATTCATGTTGATAAGGATTAAGAGAAGAGAATGTTTAGTATTATTAAATTGAAAGGTATATGAGTTTTATTTCAATCTTTTCTCCACAATTGAAGGCTTTTTTTCCCTCACTAATGTATATTTTAAAAGAAAAACTTCATAATTCCTAAACCTCTAGTTTTCTGATTCTGTATATTTTTTATTGCTATCAGTCTTGTCATTCCCTGTCAGCCCCTGAATATTAAGGAAAAAAAATCAAGATGACAAAAAGTTATTACATTGCTTTTTACCACTAAAGTACAGAAAATTAGTTTTATGAACCTGGCTCACATTGAAAGAATATTTATTAATGCTACAAATCAGAGATCCAATGACAGAAATACTGTCTGAAATACAAAAAGAACAAAAATGAGGTCACTTGAATTGCCCTGAAAAGCATTCCAAATTCATTAACATGGCTTACTTACAGCAATATTTCAAAGTTCTAGTGTTTAAAATTTAACTAAATTTATTTGGAAGAAAAGGCAGCCAAATGACTTTCAGTAATAAAATGTATCAAAATATTTCACAAGTCTAAAACACAGCCCAGTTAACTTTT